TTTTTGTTATTTGGGTACTGACATTTAAAATCTCCACACTACAGAGGCAGCGTCTGAGTCGTGCTCAAAGGACTTGATTTCCAATCATATGTAGTCATGTTTTTTGAGTTTCTTCCAAACTTTATGTAATCCCAATATTTCTAAAAATGTTTTTTGTTTTCTCATAACCATATAAAAGGCAGGAAATTCAAAAGATGAAAAGACATTGGAAAAACTAATTATATGCATTCTGCCATATTTTTTCTTTTTTAAAAGAAAAGATTCATTTCAAAGTTTTCACAAGTGAAACTAAAAATAAATATTTCAGAGAAATACATGAAACATTAGATATGTGTCATGTTCAAATTTGCTACAGGAAAAAAACTAACATTCGACAACCAAAAACTATTCAACAAAAACTATTCACTTAAAAAAGTATTTAAGTTTCCAAAGGATCTGGTGATTATTGAAAGAATAATGACATGTAATCTTGGAAACTGTTGTACTTACAAACTGGGGGTCTGTGGACTTTAAAGTGAAGTTTAAATCAAATCTAGTTCAGTGGGTTCTTAAAACAATTGACATTGTAACAGGACTCAATATCCAGCTGTTTTGTGGTCAAATCTGTCTCTTCATCCCAAAGGAAAAATCTGGAGAAACATGTTGCTAGTTCACGTTTATTCTGTATGATCAAATACCTCATTCTTAATTTGTAAAATGCAGAAGGAGTCACACCTTTTTTCATTTTGGGTTAATTAATATTAAATGTTTCATATTTTCCAAATATTTCAAAAGACAAAAATGCATGGATTTGCTGGTTTGCAGTTTTAGTAAAATGCCAAAAGGAAGGGGGAAGGTGTGCATATGCATACAGTATCTTCAGATTTAGGAAGTGTGTTTAGAAAGTAAGCAGCCAAGAATACACCTGCTTTTGTCGCTGGCTCGGGCACTGGTAGGCTGTGAACAGCAAAAGTCAGGTCTCATCTCAGAAGCAGCAAGAGACATGAATTTGTACACACATTCAAACAAGCACTTGTTCACTAGATTCCACTAGACTCACACTAAAACCACTGGTGTTTTTTCCAGAAATATAGCTGAATTTGTGGTCAGCGTACCACTATATGAGGCATAATGATATTTACAGTTTTGGTTTTCCATGTCAAACTATGTGGGTTTTTTTTTTCAGTAAATATCAACAACCAACAAGTATTTAATTTTCTTCATAAGAGGACATGTGGAAGCATGACTGCATGAGCCCCAGGTGTCCATTTGCTTTGTAATATAACAGAAAAATAAAGCAGAATTTATCCTAATTTTAGGGTTTAAATTGCAAGGTATTTTTAATGGAGTATTTAAATATTGCAGGACTTTAATTCAGTTATCAGTTTTGAAAGCAAATATTTGGTGTGATTTACTGTTTACTATTCAGCTGTAACTTATTTAGCTGTTGCTTCTACAAAGTAACTGAACCAACAGGTGAAGAACAAATTATTCTTCAGAATAATCATTCCAAAACAAATATTTGGAGGGTCAAGATACTGTTTCAAGGTCAAATGAATAATCAGAATGATTTCTGTAGGTTACACTTGCCTTTGACCCAATACACGAGCCCATGGGATTTACTTTTTTCCTGGTGACTGACTAGCTGATGGCAACTGACCCTGGCACAGTTTCATCCATTACCAGAATGCCACCATGGGTGCATGGCTACCCAAAGCGAAACCTGACAAGAAGAGAGGGAGCAAAGAAGTGTGAGAGAACACTGCTTGTTCACTAGACTCCACCACCTTGTCATTGGGAAAACTAAGGAAAGGAGATGAAAATAAAGTCATTTTGATTTTAGTGGAATTCACACTGCTCCTATGCTACCTGTTAATTCACGCATGACATTCTATTCCACAATCTACTTATTCATCATAGCAAAATGAAAAGTAAGTTCTGGGCTAACAACAATGACAGCACAATCTGTTTTAAATAGAAATTCTGACCTCTAGATAGATTGAATAGAACTACCAGAAATGAACATAGGAAGATAACAGACACATCTTCTTTCTACCTTTCTCCCCTTCATGTCACATAAGTATTAGAGTTTTAACAACACAATTTTCCCCCATCACACAAAGAGGCTGACCAATAAATCCAAATGAGAAAATGAAAATCTGAATCCCCTGGTTCATGAAGACAACTGAAAAAGTCACTACATTAAGTTATCTGAAGACTGACCCACGGGTGGCTACATGGATTACAGCATTCCCTCAGTGTTGGTATGGCTGAGGTTATGACATTACTTTTTACTCTTCACACATGAATGTTCAATAGAACTAGGACAAATAAACTGAGGGCCGGAGTTCCCCTCTTTCTTAGAGAGATATTTTTCAATTATATACTTTGTTATAGCTTAATAGATAAAAGCTGTATCTGCAAACGATTTAAAAGATGTTTAATATTCTGGTTTCACTTCTGTTGAAATAAATGTGTAATTTAAACCACACATAATTCCTAACAATTTAGGCCCATTACAGAGTTCTAACTTCTTTTTTTATGATAGTTAATAATTAAAATAGAGTGTTACTGCCACACCGAGCCTGTGACTTGGACATACAGGTTTAATGAATAAAACATCTTGACATATAAATGAAAACAGTCATACAGACAAAGCTGCAAGCTGTTGTTTTGAGTGTGTAATAAAGACTAAGGACATTCACTGAAGTTGAGAATTGCACAGAGACAACACTTGTAATTTCTTTCTTTAAAGGGAGAAGCAAAGAATTTTTGAAAGAAATCTGTAATAGTACAATTTCTGGAACTTCTGGGCCCCTCATTCCCAGCTGGCCCTTTCCCCCCAAATTTAAACTCATCAGAGTAACTTTTAAAGGATAAATGAGGGAATATTTTAATATAATCCTGCATATAGGTTTAGATTGAAAATGGGAATTGGGACCATAATTAATTATGTTGCCAAGTTTTTTGAACTTTAAGGAGACAGATTGAGGCAAATGAGGGCATTTCCTAAGCCTGCAACCTTCTAAAAAGTTCATGGGTTAAAACTTTGGTAAAATGACAGTATCTTTTTGACATTTGATTAATTCCATATGCAGGATATGTGTGAGGAATTAATACTTTTCTGGTCTATTCACTTTCTGAAACCACTGTAATAAGAGACTGCGGAAAACCAAAACCAAATATAAACAGTCTTCAGCTAGGGTACGGCCCTATTATCACTCTTAATAAACAATAATTATAATAATAAATAGCGATAGACCTCAGCATGCTGTGCTCTGTAGGCATATTTCCTTTCGCATCCATCCATCAAATCTTTCAGGATAATAAAACAATTCAATCCAATCAAATCCCCACAACCGCTCCCTCGGGAGGATGTTTTATCTCTCCTGCGAGCCCAGGGAGGATTTTACTTGTTTGAAGGGGGCGGAGAATGGAGAGGGGTCTTATTTATTTCCATTGATGACTCCCTTGGTTCTCACAGGCGCTCAGGGACCTGGTGGGAGGAGGGGAGGAGGAGGTGCGGAGATTCCCTCCTTCAGAAAAGAAAAAGGGTTCAGGAAGCGAGGCAGGAGGAGGAGGGGTTGGGGGGTGGGGAAGAGAGGGTAATGTGTTTGGAGAGATCAGCGACTAAATGAAAAAATAAAATAAAATTCTGTCCTGTCATTTAGCAGGATCGAAAAATGAGAAGTAAATTGACCAACCCAACAAAGTTGCTAAAAAGAACTCTGTCCAAGAAAAGAAAAGGAAAAAGAAAAATTAAAAACAGAGACATTTGCTCAGGTTCATTTCCTGCTCAAGGTCTTGGTTTCCCTTAAGGAGCTACTTGTACCCAGAGCAGGTTTCAAGGAACTGCTTGTACCCAGAGCAGGAGATGGACAGCGCCCCGAAGGGCACCGGGAGGGGAACCGCGATCTAGCCCGAAGGACAGCTCTGCGCCGGGGCAGAGGGGCCCGCGGCAGACTCAGGGGGCCTCGGAGACCCGCGTGGAGCTGGCGCGGGGGCTGCGGAAAATTCTCCGGCCTCGGCCTCGGGTCGGGGTGCAGGAGGAGGAGCACGAAGGGGGCACAATGAAACGAAGCCGCACCCCAAATCCAGCCGTTTGGGGAGTACCCCAAGAGAGCAGCTGGGACCGGGAACCACTCATCCGGATTCCTGAGTGTCGGGCGGCCCCGACTCTCAGCTCAGCACTGAAGGTAGCGCCGAGAGGAGCGAACCCCGACTCGCGCACTGACGGGTCTAGGACTCGACTCTGTCTCTCGGCCTGGGGCGGGAAGGAGCGACGCTCCGTGGCTGCTCTGCCCTCCCAGCTGAAGAAGGAGCCGGTCCCAGGCCACCCTGCTCAGATCGAGTAAGTTTCTCTCACGATCGATGCACGCCTAATCACGCAGAGGACAAATGAGGGAGGTCGGCTGGGAGAGGCCAGCCGGGATCGTAGCGCCCCGGGATGGGTGGCTCGGGGCCCCCTGCCTGGAACCCGCGCCCGCCCTGCCCTCTGGCGAGCCCCGCTTTCTGCCCTGACCCCTCGCTCTTCGCCGCACACGCAGACGCTCCCTGCAAGACCCGGTCCCGCAGACTTTCTCTGGCGGCAGGCGGAGGGCATGAACCTGGAGAAGGAGGCAGCAGCCCTCCGGGCAGGCCGGCAGTGTCCAGGCCAAGTCGGGGATGAAGGCTGTGCGGCGCCCCGGACTCCGCCGCATCCTGGGCACCGACCCCCGTGACCCGGCCTGTGCGCTGCCCCTCCACCTCCTCCTAACACCGCTCGGGCCGCCCAGCCACGACGCCAGCCTGGAAAACCGAGGGAGCCCTGCTCCACGCCCCTCCGCCCGCAGCAATTCGGGATCGGGAGCCGTTGCCCAGAGGTGACCGAGAACTGGGCCCCTCTGAGTTAGGGGACACGCGCCTCCACTCCCTCCCCAACCCGGTGCGGCGCTCGGGCGTAGACGCTCCTCGTGCCAGGTCTCGGGGTGGCAGGCTAAGGCGTCGAGGCGTCGGGGATTTGCTTCCCTGTCGCTACTTACCTTTAAAAAGTCTGTTTTTCCTTGGGGAGAAGAGAAAAAAATCCCTCCCAAATTGCGGTGTGCGAAACAGTCCACGTCCCCGCTCTCGCCAAGATGCTAAGCACCAGAAATCAGGAACCGAAGGGACTCGGAGTGGTGGGAGAGGTGGCAGAAGAGGAGGCAAATAAAAGAGCAAATTAAATCGGCCGACGTGTCCCAACTTTGCGGCCGGCGCTGCAAACTTCAAAGGCGGGCGAAGGCTGGCGGCGCGCGGCCGCCGAAGTTGCTGCGAAGCGGAGCGGGAAGAAGCGCGGGGCTGAAGGATCCCGGGGCCGAGCGGGGCAGCGGCGGGAGGTCCTTTTTAAAGGCGGGCAGCGTGCGGGGGCCGGGCGGCGGGAGGATGCTGCAGCGCCGGGCCGGGCTGGCGCGGGCTCCGCGGGCGGCCGCTCGGGGCACCGGCGCCAGGCTGGAGCGCAGCGCGGGGAGAGCCGGGCGCACGGGCCGGCGGCGGGCGCGCGGCTCGGTTCGCTCCGCTCTCTCGCGGCTCCGAGTGGGGAGTGTGCGTTCGCTCCTGAGTGTCACCGCTGAAGCCCGGAGCCGCTCTCCCTCCCGCCCCGCCGCTGCCCGCCAGCCCCCTCCCTCCTCTGCCCGCTGCCTCCCCCTCAGCCCCTCCCTCCCTCCCGCTGCGCGCCACCGCGCGCGCGCGCGCGCGCGCACACACACACACACACCCCTGCGCTCGCCAAGCGGGGACCCTTGCGGGAGGCATCGCCGGGAACGTACAGCGGTCCTCACCTACCTCCAGTCGCGGGAAGGAAAGGGAGGCCTACCGAGACCCCCTGTGAACCCCAAAACCCAGGGAGACGCGTACGCGGGACTATTGGCCCGTCAGGGAAAACCGGGCGCACAAATACAGGGGAACTCCGAGGCTGGCTTGGGGCGGGGTGGGCAGACGAGCTAAGTCCAGAAGATTGGAGGCGGAATGCGGAGTGTGCAAACTGTGCATTCGTGTCCCACTTTTTATCCGACAGCCTGCCTACCACAGCCTTCACTCTGGGAGCGCTTCCCCCTAGTCGCACACCAAGCCCCCTCTGGTTTGAAACTCAGCAGCTGTTTTAACGATTGAAAAGCAGCCCTACAGGACAGCGAGAGACTGAGAAGAGTGTGTGAAGCCATTAAGACTGACTAGGTAATTATGATAAGAAGTTACCTAATTAGCAACCTGGGCAGAGGAAAATGCGGAAAAAGTACCGAGTGATTTAGTGATCTCATTTTCGCAAGTGCGAACCTAGTTTCCAGCAAACCTGGTTTTTAGACTTGAATTTTAAGTTCTCAAAACATGTAGTTTATTAAGATATAGTGTCAATGAAAAGTATTTTTCATGTCAAGCATGAAAAATACTTGCTCTCTTCTCATCACCACGAGAAATGAAGGTGAAAATCTACCTTTCTGAGGTCATATTAAAAACTGGCCTTTTGTTAAGTCCCTGGTCACTGAGGGCGGTTCCAGTGCAGCTCCTTGAGTTTTGTGACTCCTAAGTTCAGAATACTGCAGTAGGTGGATTTATAAAACCGTTTATACTTCACAAAATAGTTTTGTAAAAGCCATAGAATGTTAAACGCCAAAAAGGGATGTTGAGATCACTGTGCAAGCTTATGTTTTGCATATGAGACAATGAGGTAGGAAAAGGGATCTGCCAAAAGATCTAGAGAAGTGACTCCTGCACTTAATGAGATATGGCCCAGAGCAAACCATTTGGGCATTCATTAAACATTTATTAAGTGCTTATTGTGCACCATGTACATCTTGGTGCTGAGATTTCAAAGACATAATGTGTGTTGCATTTGAGGAGCACACGGCTTGGTGGGGGACAGAGGCATAAATGGAGATGTGATTAGCACTATAATAAATGTACCTGTTCAAGCAGGAGCATGGAAAAGAAAGCAGCTAATTCTCCTTGGTAGAGATTTTAGTATAGAGGTCTGAAGGTTGAAGAGAATGCCAGGCGAACAGGGACAAGGAGAGAAGGGCACTGCACAGAGACAAGCAAGTGAAAGGTTAGGAAAGTGTCAAAGTACACAGTGTGTCCTGGGAACTGGGAGAATTAGGTGTGGCTGGATTGCAGCAGAAGTAAGCAAGGCCCGTCCACACCAATGCTCTAGAAGCCCAAAGAGCTAGAACTTTCCTGAAGGTGGTTCATGGTTGGAAAACTATTAAGGGTTTTAAGCAAGGACAGATTTTAAGATTTTTAAGTGTCATCAGATAGGAGCTTTAGAAAATTATCTCTGGTATCACTGTGGAAGACAGATGGGAGAGAGAGTGAGGAGGTTATTTCCAGAGGGAAAAATTAGGACTGAACTAAGGCAGTGGAAGTGCCAGTTGCAAGGTTGGGACAGCTCTGGAAATATTTAGGAAATCTAATAGACAGGACCGATTGATTGATTGGATATGGAGGGTAATGGAGAAGAGGAATAGTCTAGACTGACTGTGAGGTTTCTGGCTGAGGCAAGAAGGCAGGTGATAGTCTTGTTTGACATGAGATACAACATATAGGGAGGGGCAGTTTTAGGAAGAATATAATGAGTTCTGTTTAAACTTGTTGATATGGGAGTAAACGTGGGGCATCTGAGTGTAGCACTGAAAGACAGCCAGAAAGAGAGTTCCTAGGAGAGAAGGTCCAAGCTGGAAGGAGCCCTCAGGAATCATCAGCATCTGGGTATTTCCTGAAGCCAGGGAGAGGAGGAAAGCAAGCCAGAAAGAAAAGACTTAGGGTGGGACCTGGCAGAACAGCAATGTATTTGGTAGGATAGATGGAGGAAGAGGAGCCTGCAAAGGAAAGAGCTGGAGACCAGAGAGGGAGGAGGAGACAGCAGAGATCATGCAGCCAAGGGAGTGACATGGACCAGGGTCATTGTGGCAGAGTGATCAAGACAACCAGACTGAAAAGCAATTGCTGCTCTTTACAAAATGTCTGCGTGATCTTGACATAAGCAATTGTAGTTTATGCTGTATGTGTGTGAAGGATCCAGATAATTGCAGCTAGAGAAGGTGAGATCGTGCAAACACAAGAGGGCAAGCTCATTTACCTAACAGTTTGGTTCTGAGGGGAAGGAGAGAGTCCTAAGAAGAGCATTTTTGTAGTAGTTGTATTTTTATTTTTCTTGTGTGAGCCACCTGGTCTCACTTGCTTGAAACTGAGGGAAAAGCAGGTGGAGAGGGAAAGGCTGAGAAGGCAGTGAAGTTCCCTGAGAGTCAGTTTTCTCCTCAGTACATTGAAGGCAACAGAATCTACCCCATGAATCTTACAGAACTGGTGGGCAGTTCACATAAGCCAGGGATTGAGACAGTGCTTTAAAACTATCATTAGGAAGAAACTGAGTCCAAATGAGGTTTAGGTGAATTGTCTTTAATTCAGCCAATTCATGACAAACCAAATCTGTGGGAAAAATTCTTGAAGAACTCTGTGAAGGATGTTTTTATGAAAGTTCCTAAAAATAGTCCTGTTTTGAATATCAGGATTTGCATATATCAATATATCTGTCTTCTCTGTGTATAATTATATTTATATAGTATGTAAACATCTTCAGTGTGTTTGAGGGGCTTGGGCAATGTGCACTATTAAATAAAACATGTATTTAGTCAGACAGACTTCAGACTTGTATTTAATTCTAGACTGTGATAATTATTGGCTATGAGACAAATAACCTCACAGAGTTTTTATTTTTGTTTTTTTAAGTATACAAATGAAAAAATTATAGCTGACTTAGAAATTATTTGTGAGGATTAGGTAGTATATAATATTCAAGCATTTGGCAGAGATTTGATTATTTAAATCTGAGTTTACTTTTAAACTATGAATTTCATATATTCAGCCAATTGGGAAAAGTTATCAAAAACGGTTATGAAATTGAAAGTGTAAATAAAGTCTATTTAAGAGAACTCCTAGTTCAAGACTGTTTCTTAAGGCAGCAGTCCTCCAAGCATGGTCTGTAGACCCCTGGGAAGGACAGGAGACCTTTCAGAGAGGTCCACAAGGCCAAAGCTTTTATCATATTAATTCAAACGTGTTAATTTTGACTTTTCCTTTTTTTTTAACCCTGTTGACATTTGCACTAAGAGTACAAAAGCAATGGAGGATAAAACTGCTTGCACCTTAGCATGGACCAAGGAGTGGCACCACAAATGTCAATTTTACTTAGGAAGTCCTTGATGAAGCAGTAAAAATTACTTACTTTGTTAAATTTCAACCCTTGACTCTGTCCTACTGTTCTGTGTGGCAAAAATGGGAGGCACACATAAAATTCTTCTGCTGCATACCAAAGTACAATGTTTATCCTGAATTAAAACACTTGTGTAATTGAATTGTCGCTAAATCAGCTGCTTTTTTCATGAGACATATTTTTACTTGCAAGAACAACCGACAAGCTATGGTTACTCACACTTGGATAACTGGCAGACATTTTTTCCAAAACAAATTAGGGGAACCTGTGACTTCAAGTTAGACAACTGGCAGTATTTATTTTCAGTGAAAAGTTTGACTCTTCCAGTTAAAAACACAGAATTTAGAAAGCTTCTCTCTGTAACCATGAGCTTGGCAGCTAGCTCCCCAGTACTTAGACTTAGACTTAGAAAAAGTATTTTCTAATAAGTCGGTGATATTTTAATTAATGTGGTGTTGTGGTGTTGTATGATGTAATGTATCGACACTGAAGATCTGCATAACTCAATGAACCAGTATTTTCCAAATGCCCAATAATTTATGATGCTAGAAAAATATTCATGAGTTGATGATCCATTCAAAGTATAAGATAGACCAATGAAATTTAATATAACAATATGAAAAGTTAACTGATACAGTTTCATATTCCACATTTCAATTATAAGGTTAAGAAACTACCATTTGTGAAGTTTCGGTGCAGCATCCAAGAAAAATACCTAGAATTATTTTTGAAAGTTATTACAATGCTGCTTCATTTTCCAACTATGTATCTGTGTGAAACCGGATATTCCTAATTTACTTCAAACAAAACAACATATCCCAACAGATTGAATACAGAAGTGATAGGAGAATCCAGCTATCTTCTACTAAGCCAGACGTTAAAGAACTTGCAAAAATATAAAACAATGCTACTTTTCTCCCTTAATTATTTTTTTTGAAAATACAGTTATTTTCAGAAAAATGGTATTGGCATGTAGTAGATACACTATAGTTATTTTGAAATGAGTAAATATTTTAACATTTCTGTTTTAATTCCTAATATAGTGAATACTGTTAGAAATAATTCACACAAACACAAGCTCCTTGGGGTCCTCAATAATTCTAAGACTATAAAGGATTCATGAGAACCAGTCATATGAAATAGGTTCAATCATGAAAATACATTGAAAGATCAAAGTCTTATAGTATTCTGCTTGTAGACCAGCCACTATCTCAGTTGTACTTATACAATATATTTCTCATTTTACACAAATGTAAATAGACTCCATGACACATATACTTACCTCTGTAGAGTGCTGTTGGTATCTCTACTCTGGGAACTGAGGCAAAAGAACTGGTGGAAAGCATTATAGAAATCCTGAGACTTGGGTGAAACAGTGTCGT